ACTTTCTTCAATTCTAACATTCTATTTGAACAGTGAATTTACATTAAATAAAAGCTGTAGGCGCAGTTCCTCAAACTTTGCTAATTTCCGGTCACTTTTTCCCATTTATCAGGAGTAGCTCCAGTATGTTTTGTTTTCCCTTTCCTTTAGACACCCATACATATCTTCAGTGTTATCTTTATTATTAACGTCTTTTACTAACTAGCTGGTGCTTTAGATACTTTGAATACCGTACAAGATATTCCTCTAGCTTGTAGATCTAGAACAATCGTACAAATCTTGTAGATTGACCGGTTCAGGGAGACGGGGCCCAGTGCTGTAAGAGGTGTTGCCATTAATATTTCACGGTCAATAATTGCTCGACTTTCCTTCAGTCGGCAATATGGTTTCCTCGGGTTTGAATTCCTTTTTACTGTTTGCAGTTAGGAGAGGTATCAAGTACAGCGGAAGAGTTCTTTCAAAGCCATTCTAAAATCGCGCATTCTTATTGCATAAACCCAAGGATCAAGAACCGCGCTGAAATAAGAAATCGCAACTAGTGCAATCCAAACTTTTCTTGAGGAACTTCCGCTTTTTACGTCACTCAGATCCGGAGGATTGGCTACGAAGACACAGTCATAAATGAAACTTGGCATGAAGAGCAAAATAAACAGTCCCGTGATAATTACAAATGTGTTTGCTGTTTTCCTCTGCCCCTTGTTTTCCGCGATTTGTTGAGCCTCTGTTATGTTATCTCGCACGGGAAAAGAAGTTTTCGTTGCTTGATAGATTCTGAAATAACAGAAAGCTATTACGCAAAATGGAATAGGCACGGCAATTATCGCTTGGCAAATCCATATTTGTATCAAGTTTTGTTCAGGAACAAGGTATATCGTAGTTGCGCCCAATACGGCAAAACACCACGAGAACATTATCAAAATTAAACATCTTGCCGAGGTCATTCTGTTGTGATACTGCAAAGGAGAAGTTATTGCGATGTATCTATCCAACGCAACATTACTCAAGCTTAAAGTTACAGATGTTGTAGTAAAGCAAAATACCGCACTCTCAGTTCCTAGGTTGATGCTTTCTTTTCTAGAATGATTTAAGGCAAAGTGAAGATTGCCAGTGAATCTGGAGAGAAGTTCTGCCGCAGCGAGTGATGCCATAAAATAACGCGCTGTAGATCGCAATGAGTGAATGTTTCGGACAACTAAAAGAACGGCCAGATTGTGTAGAACGGCCAAAATTCCAGAAATACAAAAAATTGTAGTTAGTATGGCAATGAAAGTTACCGATAGACTAAATCGTGGATATGCCATGGTCGATTAACGATAAAGCTGCATGTGAAAATTGTCATCCTTGCTAAATGGCTGCCGTATACCAATTTACTCTTAGATTTATTGCCTTCGTAATCCACCAATAGGAACAAAGCTCATTTAATTATTACTGTAATCTTTACGATTATTACTGTTGTGAGTGTCGAACCTGTTGAGTTTTTCCAACAAGTAAGAGACAAGAGCAAACACATTGATACATACTATTCTGACTTTTGCCTAAAACAAACTGTATTTACATACAAATGAAATCTAAAGAACAAACTGAAGTTTCAAGAATATAATACTACTCTGTTCGCATTCGTATTCGGATTTACACATTGTATTTTCTTGTGCTTCATATTCATGTTGTTATTTAGTATTCAGATATTCTATGAAAGTACGCTCTTACATCACACCGACTAGCGGTACATTTGTATTTGCAACTGAGCAGTCCATATGGATGTTGGTCATCCGAAATATGGTTTGCAAATTTAAAACTGTGTGTTTTTATCTCAAAGTTATTTACACATGACCGACAGCAATCAGTGTTAACAAGCTGAAAGAACTAATTAAAAATATAACAAACTGGTGCGTGCGTTNGTATTCGGATTTACACATTGTATTTTCTTGTGCTTCATATTCATGTTGTTATTTAGTATTCATATATTCTATGAAAGTACGCTCTTACATCACACCGACTAGCAGTACATTTGTATTTGCAACTGAGCAGTCCATATGGGTGTTGGTCATCCGAAACGTGGTTTGCAAATTTAAAACTGTGTGTTTTTATCTCAAAGTTATTTACACATGACCGACAGCAATCAGTGTTAACAAGCTGAAAGAACTAATTAAAGATATAACAAACTGGTGCGTGCGTTTCTTGACAAGCGATCCGGCACGCTAACCTTCTCTAAATTTTGGTTCATTTTCATAAAGTAACCTTCTCACGTACAGTTCACTTGCACCTCCTTAAAACCTCTATTTTGATGTGTTCTTGTTAAAAGAGTCTTCTACTTTTCTAAAAGTGACCTACTCTTTTAAGTGTGACCCACTTTTCTAAGTTTTTCGCCCACTTTTCCAAGCGTGACTCTTTTTCCAAGTGTGACTAGTTTTTCCAAGTGTGACTAGTTTTTCCAAGTGTGATCCATCGCTCCGATCGCTTGAAATTCTCTCTTTTATCGGCATCCAGGATCTTTCGTTTTTAACGCTCTTCAAACTATTCCGAAGAGAGTAGCAACAATAACTGTGTCTTTCTTTCTCAAAGATTGAAACCACGATGACCACGATGGATCCACGAACCCGCCATTTGTATCAGACAGATCAAAAATATAAACTTTTTGAAAACGGAAAGGAATCACTTTCTATGAACTCTAGAGGTTTATGAAACCATTCGCTCGACATGGCGAATCAAATTTGGCTCGGATCGAGCAACGTTGATCGATAGAGGCGAACAGAACATTTGCCGCCATGCTCTAGCTAGTTCGCCTCACCCGTTCTTTGATCGAATTTCGTGCGATGCATAAACAGCGAAGCCTCTGGTTGTTATATTAACTATTTCAACTTTTTTAACCAGGGCATATATGGTTGATCTGGCTTACCGCATTAAATTATTCTGTCAAATGCTAAACGGCTTATGCGCCACAAAAACATGACAGATCTGTAATCTGATTAGCACCAGCACCAGACGTACCCGGGAATTAGAGCCCATGTCCTGCTGGGTATTTCAGAGTCTCGTGAATTACATCATGAAAGATTTAATAATGGATTTCAAAAAAAACTTTATCACTTAAACAAGGTCTTTCATAATTTTCACAGTACGTATTCCAAAGCAAGTTTGGGCTGTCAATAAAAGCTACATTTCATGTGCATATAGGTACCGTTAAATTTGCTACTCAATTCACGGAGTCCCCCTGTAGCCCAGTGGTTACATTTCCGAGCTTCGGTTCGGATGGGCACGGCGTTCAGCCCCCAAAGGGGGATTCCGCGTATTTTTTTCAAATTTAAAAAAAAATTTTTTTTTTAATTTGTTTGTTGGACTCCATTCATATTTTTACGTACAATCTTCTTTTTTCTCCTTTTTGAACCAAGTTAGGTGTTAAAAGAATTTTTACGGAAAAACGTCAGCCCTGGCTGATGGTTAATCATACCCATCTCGCCGTGTCTTAGTTATTTCATTTAAGCCGCTCTTTATTAGCTTTGTATCCAATAGGCAAAGACCTGCAAAAGTACTGATCTTAATTGCTTTTCCAAGTGTGACCCACTTTTCTAAGTTTGACCCATTTTTCCAAATGTAAGCCAGTTTTTTCAACTGCAACCTATTGTTTAATTGTGACCCATTTTTTCAAGTGTGACCTACTTTACTAAGTGCGAGCCACTTTTCTAATTGTGACCCATTTTTCCAAGTGTTACCTATTTTTTCAAGTGTGACCCGATATTTCCAAATGTGACGCATATTACCAAGTGTGACCAAATTTTTAAATGTAACGCATATCTCCAAGTATGACCCATTTTTTTTTAAGTGTGATTTTTTTTTCCAGTGTTTTCCATTTTTACAAGTGCGACTCTTTTTTTCAAAGTGTTTCCCATTTTTACAAGGTCTTACATAATTTTCACACTACGTATTCCAAAACAAGTTTGGTCTGTCAATAAAAACTACATTTCATGTGTATATAGGTACCGTTAAATTTGCTACTCAATTCAAGGAGTCTCCCTGTAGCCCAGTGGTTACAGTCCGAGCTTCGGTTCGGAAAGGCATGGCGTTCAGCCCCCAAAGGCGGATTCCGCGTGTTTTTTAAAATTTTTTTTAATTTGTCTGTTGGACTCCATTCACATTGTTACGAACAATCTTCTTTTTTTTCCCCTTTAAACCAAGTTAGGTGTGAAAAGACCTTTTAAGGGAAAAGATCAGCCCTGGCTGACTGTTAATTATACCCGTGCTGGAAAATAGTGTTTTGCAAAAAGGAATGATTCTGCCTTAATGAAACAATGCAGGCAGAACATGTAAACTCAGTCTCATTCCCAGGCTCTCGCTCCCTTGCCTCCCTTGTTGTCGAGGAGAGGAGAGAGAGCCTGGGATCAAGGTTGATATGACCTGTGGGAAAAGAGCATCATTCATTCCAATCTCCCCTCCTTGATACCATTTCAAGGAACTGACATAAACTTCAACATAATCAGTTAAGTGCAACATCTCTTATAACTTGTAAATTATTCCAAATTAATTTTAATTTGTTGGGAAATGAGCAAGGGTGTCATTCCTCTTCACCAGTCCCTCTCAGTTGTTACAAGAACTTAACATCGTTTGTCACTTTTAATTGTTATTAACAAAACCAGTTTAAAAGTAGATACTGGTACATTAAATAACACAAAATAGATACATTCAGTCAGTTAAATAACAAATACAAAAGCAGTTAACAACCTGTGACAAACAATGTTCCAAAACATTCAAACACAATGCCAGTTAATCATCTACTCTATCTGTGGTGGAGGCACAGAAACCTCATTGTTAGTGTGCTCACCTATGGATCAAGCAGTTCAGGTTCAAGCCCTGACAAGAGGAAACGTGTTGTGCTCTTGGGCAAGACACTTTACTCTCACAGTGCCTCTCTCCACCCAGGTGTATAAATGGGTACCGGCAAATTTAATGCTGTGGGTAGCCCTGCGATGGACTAGCATCCCATCCAGGGGAGAGTAGAAATATTCTTAATCGCTTCATGCAACAGAAACAAGAGATAAGCGCTAGCCTGATGGACCACTTTGCTTGTATGCAGACTTTTTACTTTATCTGTACCTATGTGGCACACAAGGCTTCAAGTGATGCTTTTAATTACACAAAATGGGAATATTTGTAAATATTTGTAAAAGTTTCATGTACATGTGGTTCATTTGACCTAAGTCATGTTTTAACCTATTGTTAACATTGTATGCTAATGTATGATCATTTTTAATGGCATAATGCTACACAAGTTCTGATTGGTCAGTAGTAATTGACTATGGTTATTGTTAATTATGTGACACAAAAATCATAGATAAAAGTAAGAGTGGTAACAAACACAAACAAATTACTATATGTACATGTAGTATGTAGACTTCTTGAAGCAGCACTAGTACTAAATAACTATTAATTTTGCCAATGACTGGGCTGTTTCATGGAAAAATATACATAAAGAGTATTCAAATTAAAATGGACTAAAGCTGGTCAAAAAAGTGTGCTTCTAATTCAACAACATTTAATATTTATATTTTCCTATCTACTAGATAGGTCAAAGTAATTCCACACCCAGATCGGTCTCCTTTAGGGGTTTAATTCAAATTTTCCGACAAATATCCCCAACTTATTCACATGCAAATCTCCCCACTGAGGACCATACCTACCAACATTAACAATTGATTATGTATACCCAATAGTTACTTCACAAAATTGTTGATATTTTCCTAGAAGGGGGCCACTCTCAAATTACACACATTTTTACTGACATCAATACCACTTCATTGATGCAATGACCACACTCAAACCTAAGAGGGTGAAAGAAAACAAAAGCTGGCATCCTTTACAAGCTTTTGGGTTTTCCTCTCCACTCCTTTCTGGCGTATGGGTGTCATCATCTTTCCTCGGCCCTGGATTTGTTTCCGTGTGGGTGAAGCTATTCTCACCATATAAAGTTGACTTCCAGTTGTCACTACACTTATCTATCTTGCTTCGCAATAGCCATGTGCTTTCAATGATCTCTGTGTTATTTTCCCCACAGATGTGACACTGCCCCACCCACCCTGTGACAGATGAACCAGTCTTCCATACCACAAAGTAAGCAAAAGTGCTGCTTGAGCCGCCGAGTTGACCAATTCCTAACACCTCGGAATGACTTGTTCCTGCAGCCCCAGTTTCTCGCTCAACAGCAGTCCGGTACTCTCCTTTAATAACACTATCTTCTCCCTGCTTTAAAATCATCTCAGAACCTAAAAGATTGTACCATTTTCCATTAAGGTTACAAGGCTTGTTTTGACCTTCAGGGTCCCAATTCTTGATTATTGTATTAATATTTGGAGAAGTTTTCGTATTTGTTACATCTGGTTTGCGAGGACCATCGCGTTGTTCATATCTAGTGAATGTGTCACGTCCAATCCGGGTGGATTGCCACTTGTCTATACATGTATCGACCTTGGAGCGTAGCAGCCATGAAGTTAAAAGTTTTTCATGTCCATCTTCACAGACAAGACACTGACCAGTCCACACAGTTGTTGAGGAGCCATTACGCCAGACAACTGAGAAAGCAAAGGCTGCCCCTGGGTAGTCATAGGGTGCAGTACCTATCACAAAGGAAAATCACAATGTTATACTTAAATCCACTGATTAGAGGGCTAAGAATATGGGTCTTTAATTAATTAGATGTGAACAATTCTAGTCAATTTGAATGCATTAAATGTCTGGTTCTCTAGGTAATATTTTGTGTTTTTATTTCTCCGCTTGACGACTTGAATACAAGTGTGTTAAAATAAAATGCAGTGACAGGAAAGTGGAAAGGACAAGATTCTACTACAATTGCCCTTTGATTACAGAGCTAAACAGAATACATGACACCACCTATTTGCCCTTACAGCTGAAGGACATTGTCAATTTCTTCAAATGGATCTTGGGGAGAAAGAGCTGACTCACCCTTTTACTACCCCAGCAATAGCTGTTATTACAGTTTTCAGCGGTTTGACATACAAATGAGGTGAAAGAGTCAATTCTGCTTTGTATTGACTTGTTCGCCTTGTTTGTATGCCTTCTTAAACAAAAGAATATTGGACCGCAGGCTCAACTGTAATAACAGCTATTTCTGCTTTCTTCCATTCTTTGACAACATATTGCTCTCCCTCCCATCTATTTTGGTTATAGAATTATTTAGCGGGGTTTGGCCTAATTAGTTTTCGCAAACGTTTTCACACAGGTCTTTAATTTTGCAGTTTTTCTGAAAATCGTGAAAATGTATTGCAGCACAATAGTTTGCAGCACAGCGTTTGCAAATTCCTCAAAAGTTCCGCGTTAGAGACAAATCTTATCCATGTGATGGATTTGCATCTGTTGTACTCTTCTCCCTAACATATCTTGGATTCCATCTTGTTAGAAAGTGCGAAACTCAACAAACTTGCAAACAGACTGTGATTAGCAACTTGCCCAACAGCAGAGATTCACTCATCGCACAATCATCAATTTAAGGCTTTCATACAAAAAGGGCGTATATACAGGTAGCATTTTGGGCCGATTTTTATTTTTTGCAGGATCAAGCTAATTTTTGGTACACTGACTTGTTTTGACATGAAACGCATTGTTGCATAATTGTTTTTGCTGATTTGCGTTTCGTTTTCAAGAAATAACGTATGCAAAAAACTCAGTTTTCCGAGCGGCATCTTTTGGAGTGAATCCTTCGAAGGTGGATTTTGACGCAGCACGAACTTAAACAGTTACTTTCAGCAGCTTCAACAGCACGGTTTTTTTTAAATACATGTTTTTATTTTTGAAAGAAGTAGAGAAATAGACCAGAAAAAAAAATCCACCAACCTCGTATCGAACTGGTGTCATGACAAAACAAGCACGAATCCGGCCTGTTCAGCGCCTCATTCGCTTGCGCTAACGAAGCAAACAGTAAGAGACTTGCATAATTATATGAATAATAAAAGTAGCAGCAAATACCACACTTCGGTGACTTCATCGTTTAGCAAAACAAAAGGTTTCTTTTGTTTTTCGCTCAACAAAAGATCTCCAAAAGATACCGTTGGAAAACTGAGTTTTTTGCATATG